TGGCTAGCTATTAAATGCATAGCTCCAAAATCCAATGAACAAAAAGACATAATAACTCGAGAGTAGAAGACCATTTCTGACACAAATGTATTTGCGAGTTTTTTTTAGGAAAATAAAGTGGAGGGAATCATTTTGTATCAAACCTAGTGACATTATAAAATCAAATCAACGAAGCCAAAAACTATACTATTTTTTTCTCAACATATTTCTTTAATTCCAACCTTGTTCTTTAGTCTGTAGACAATAGCTAATCAAGAAAATAAGCTAAAATACTTATTAAGTTGTCAACTGTCAAGTTTCACTAGATCATTTTGATTTTTGACCCAAAAAAGATTCACAGATCTTGACAGTTACACGTGTCATCATCTCCCACTTTACATTCCAGGAACTTTACACTATAGAAAGAGTGTACTAGTGATATATCCGTTTATGTTCACTATCAATTGCTAAAAGTATCGAATATGAAAGACTTACTTCACATTTCTAGTCTTCTTGCTTCGTCTTCTACTACTTACTAAGCTTTGATTCTTGTGTCAATGTTCTTAGTTCAACAATTACTGTCCTTGCTCTGTAATCAAATTCGTGGGCTCCCTTAGAACATACATTGGAAGCTCATATCTAGCACCTGCATTGAGTAAGAATAACCAAGTCAAGTAATAAACAAAAACCGAAAAATGACCAATCGGATTCGTGTGTGTGGGATTGTGTTTTGCAAAACCTCTTTCATCCCAACACAATGTTAGATCACTGTTTTCAACAATCACGCCTGCACTGTCTACAATTGTTTGTGCTAGTTTCAATTGATCAGCTTCAGCAGCAGCTCGTAACGCATCCCATATCTCTGTGGTTATCAGTAATTCACCTTTAAGATCACACTGAAAAAATGCAATGTAGACTAACAAGAAAGAGATATCTATGTACCTCTTTGACCACCATAGTGTGGAGAAGTATCCCAAAATTCCTCGCGCATATTCGTCAGCTGTGCCCTTGTGATTGGCTCGGTATGCGCCCACGGTTTAGGTTTTCGGATTTTCTTTCTTTTCACTATCAACATACGAAACTCATAAACTAAGTACCACCATCAAGTCTAAGCAGTTCTCGCAATAGCAACAATGTTCAAGTCATCTACATTGGAAGATTCATCGCAATTTCGATCTCAACAAGTCAAATGCAATAAGAGGCAGAACAAAAAGAACCAGAAGATCTTGTTTATTGTCATACACGAATAACATTCTTGGTAAAATTGAAGGTGTATACAGAAAAGTAGCTACCAATTTCAGTCACACCATTGTTCATATACCATTCTAATTCTATGGATTTGGACTAAAAGACACGAAGAATGTGGTTTTAGCTTCAAGCCTTCAACATTTGCAATCTTTACGAATAAACATGGAAGAGAATAGCAATCTCGAAACTGAGATTTCGTTTCACAAATCTCTCTCCAAGAATCACAATATTACAAACCCATACCAAAATTCCGAGAACATGAACACGCACAATCTCACCGAACGATGCTAAATCAGAAATTCAAACCAACAAGAGAGAAGCAAATCGCGAATCTAAAGTGTTACGCGAAAATCGATTTTGCTCACCTCCTTCGTTTTTGGCCTGCGAAGATCCTATGCAACCCATTCTCGAACCTGTTTGAGAGAGGGTAAAATCGGAAGTCGAAATGGCAGTACCAAATCAACCACCGGAGAAGAACGGAGAAACTCTACTGCCGATTACAAAGTTTCACGGTGGTTACGGCGAGAGAATCGCCGGAGGGACTTCAAGACTCGTCGTCGTCGTTGATTCCGTTTTGACTCCGAGTTTTAGTTTGTTACAGAGACCACCTCAGTTTTATAGTCACTACTTGCCACGTCATATGTTTTGTGATTATAAATCATAATTTAATACGTAATTGCATGTGCGTCTGTAGTCCAACGGTTAGGATAATTGCCTTCCAAGCAATAGACCCGGGTTCGACTCCCGGCAGACGCAAGTTCATCCTTTTTATCAAATTTTTAAACATAAGAAGATAAGATACTGAAATGACGAAACTGTCCTCGTTTCTAACGGACCAATCAAGCTACCACCCGAACGCGTTTACGAGGGCTTTTTTGTAATTTCATTCACGATTAAAGAGTAAAATGACACAACACAAATCCTTTCTCTTTCACGTCTTTTGATATACATTTTCAATTCCGCGTCTTTCTCTGTAGAAATCGAAAAGATCTTCTTAGCAGCACAACAAATATCTCTCACAAAATCTTGTTAGGGGTTTTCAAAATTTGAAAAGGACAAGCATTTTGATCTTTCTCTGTAATTTTTCAAAGGAGAATTCAATGGCTGGTTACAGAGCAGATGATGAATACGATTACCTTTTCAAGGTTGTTTTGATTGGTGATTCTGGTGTTGGAAAGTCAAATTTGCTGTCGAGATTCACCAAGAACGAGTTTAGCCTCGAGTCTAAATCCACGATCGGTGTCGAGTTCGCGACTCGGAGTTTGAATGTTGATGATAAAGTCATCAAAGCTCAGATTTGGGATACTGCTGGTCAAGAAAGGTCTCATCTTTTTTCTTCTCATTGGTCATTTCCCGATCTGGGTTTCTCTTAGATTTGGAAATCTTAGACTTATTAGGGTTTGTTCGATTGCTAAAGATTGAAACTTTTGAGCTTTAGATTTAGATCTGTGTCGATTGGATTTAGATTCATTGGCTTTATGTCTTTCAGAAGAAGAGATCTGGGGATTGGTTATGTGAATTCAACGATGAAGATTCAAAAGTTATCAGCTTTATTCGAATTTCGTCTGTTGTGTTGCTTAACTTTCATTTCTCATAGTTATTGGTTTCTCTGATCGGTCTGAAAAAGCTTCTTGCTTTGTATAGTATCCGGATTCTTGGTTTCTTCTTCGCATTAGCTATGTTCTGTGTTTTGGTTAACTTAATGGATTCATTTCATAGGTATCGAGCCATCACTAGCGCGTATTATCGAGGAGCTGTTGGGGCGCTTCTTGTATACGATGTAACCAGACACTCGACATTTGAAAACGTCGAGACGTGGCTGAAAGAATTAAGAAACCACACTGATCCTAACATTGTAGTCATGCTCGTGGGAAACAAATCTGATCTTCGCCATCTCGTGGCTGTTCAGACGGAAGATGCGAAATCATTTGCCGAGAAAGAATCTCTTTACTTCATGGAAACTTCGGCTCTTGAATCCACCAATGTCGAGAACGCTTTCGCGGAAGTCCTAACTCAGATTCACCACATTGTGAGCAAGAAGGCGATGGAAGCAGCGAGCGAATCAGCTAATGTTCCATCGAAAGGAGACAAGATCGATGTCGGTAAAGATGTTTCTGCTGTGAAGAAAACCGGATGCTGCTCGAACTAATAAGAGAGTAGAAATTTACTGTTAACGACCTGAGGATCGGTTTTTGTTAACGGTTTATAATTCAGATTCATTCGAATATGAAGATTGCTTTTAGATTGAGTAATACCCTTTTGGTGTACTTTTGTTTGATTATATAATTTTTTATCAATGTTGTCGCTTTGAAAATGCTTTTGATTCTGATGTATTGTCAAATTTCCAGAACCATGCTACTATGTTCAGTCCTGGCTTTTGGTTAGCAGAATGTGATTTGTACTCAAGCTAAATGATTGGGACAACATTTGAGTTAGATAAATATCATCAGTTTCACAAACCAAGAAGGAATTAAACCGAAACGATTCGGGTAGAAAATTCAAGAGCAAGCGATTTCGGTGGAGGCGATCTTGAAGTCGTAACGAGGGTCCCATACGTATTTGAAAGCCACGTGTTCACCCCCTCTGAGTCTGTCGTTGTAGCCGGTGTGGAGGAGACAGGCATCATCGCCACCAGGTTTCGACAGAACCGAGCTATTGATGGTTGTGATTGATTTGAAACCGGTGCATGACAACTTTGTGTTACTGAACGTGCATGGAGTTGGGTTCGTCACTTTTACTTCCCACTCGGGTTTGTTCTGAACCATTTTTCCGGTCTTCGATTGTGTCAGATGTAGATGATAAAATTCACCATAACCATAACCTTCAAATTTCCAACAAACAGAAAAATATTTATAAACATAGGAAAAGATTCATCTTACTTTAGTATTCTATGTTACACTATTCTCTTTTAGGCCTTAAGAATTCATAATAGTTCTATATATATACATATACCTTGAGTAACGAAGGCGAAGAAGATAACTAGGCAAAGGAGTTTGCAAGCTGCCATTGTTGGATCTATGGAGTTTGATCAGAAAATTTAGGAAAATGTAGTTATGTATGAATGTGTGAATGTGTGAATGTGATATATATACTCAGTATTTATAGGGAGGCTATTGGGGTTATCTTATACTTTGATCAACGGTTTGGGATTTCTTTTTTTTTTTTTGTTCAACGTTTTGGGAAATTATAAATAGGTATTAAGAATATTAACAAAGAGAAAAAGATTGGGTTTGACCCACCTATCAAAGATATTAGCAAAAGATAGAATGTACAAATTAATAGAAACCTTGACTTTGAAAAGTTAAAAGAAGAGATTTTAAATGGTAATTATATTTTTTTTCCTTGGCTTTGAAAAGTTAAGAACTTAAGT